TAAATGTCAGAAGCTGATGTGACAATTAGTGCATGCTTTGTATGTAGTAAACATTTATCACTCATTAGCTATATGAGAAACAGTCACATAGCTGATACTGAACATTCAGCATTCAATATTCCTGGAAGGGTCTTCCTACTAGAAACATTGTCCACTATTAAAAAGCTAAGGATACCCCTTGTGTCCTTGATTGTGGATTAATTTGAAGGATCCCAAAATATAATTTGCACCACTGCCATATATTACATAAGGCACCTTCCCCCATTTCTCATGAACCAAACAGAAGGAAAGCATAATTATGTTTTCAGTTCTATACCATGTTTCCTAAGAGACAACTAGAAGTACTCTAACGTAGCTGAGTTTCCAGCAGGTACATGCAAGCAAAAAAAAAAAAAAAAAAACCACCAACCAGATTGACATCCTGGCCACTCCATGGACAGAACACAGAACACCAAAAGGCTACACAGAGGAGAGAATCACCTTAAAGGCACCAAAGGGACGACATGAAAGCAGGTCCAAGCATTGACTTGCAAATATCACATAGTAAGCAGGCCATTGAGAATAAGAGCAGGGGGAATCAGAGGTCAGGATTTCAATTTAAGGATGGCTCTGGATTTAGATGATGATCTGTTTCAGGAATTTTTGTCATGATTCAGTGCTAGTGCTTATATACTGATATATCAACTATGCATGCAACATACAAAAATTTTCAAATGCCTTACAGTTTTTGTCAGCAGCCAGAACTAGGAAAGCAAGAAAAAAGGGGGCAAAGAATTCCTCTTTTCCGTGTTCAAATAACCCACGGTGGCTAGGTAGAGCTCTTTCGGTGCATTTGTGACCATTTTGGCCACTGTCATGGAGCTACTGGCCAACTGTGTAAAAACAATTAATGTGGAATCGAAGGCTTAAGACACGTTTTAAAACAGCAACTGAAAGACAGAAAAGTAGGCTTAATTATCTGTCATTTTATTGCCTCTAGAAACACTACGGCATGAGCGTTCAGATGATCATATGTAATTTCAAGTTCTGATTACAAACCGATGCAATTAATTTGATGTGTTTGTGTGTGTGTACGTTTAATTTCTACATCCCAAAGAGTGTTGTTTCCTTGAGAGAAAATCTTAGCGTGCATTCATTTGTTCATTTTGGGATTGATTTCCAACTCTGTGGCAGGTTGCTTTGAATGTGTTCAGTATGGGAATTACTGCATCCTTTAAGGATGTAGTTCTTCCTTGGAAATGGTAACCAAACATTTAACTCCAGATCTTGTATTTAAGGTGGACAATCAAGCACTGAAACACTGTGGATAAAAAATAAAGTTTGGAAAAAACAAATTCCCCATTTAAAAAACAAGCCAAGAATCGGAATAGATATTTTTCTAAAGCAGATACACAAATAAGCAGTAAGTACACGCAAAAGTGTGCAGTATCATTAGCCATCAGGGAAATGAAAATCAAAACAATAATGAGATACCACTTTACACATACTGGAATGGCTATAATAAAGATAGACAATAACCAGTGTTGGCGAGGATGTGTTGGAATTGATTTCTCATACACCGCGGGTGGGAATGTAAAACGGTGAAGTCACCTTGGCTTTCATACACATGGAGTTGTTACCATACGACCCAGAAGCTTAACTCCTCCGTATCTATCCATGGGAAATGAAAACATGGGTCCATGCAAAAACTTGCACAAAAAGGTTCAAAGCCCCATTATTAATAACCAAATTTCAGAAACAATCCAGCAACCGATGGATCAATAAAAGGTGGTATAGTAATACAATGGGATATCATTCAGCAATAAAAAGAAAATAAATACTGACACATGCTTACTACATGGGTGCATCTTAAAATCATTATCCTAACTGAAATTAGCCAATTACAGAAGACCACATATTGTATGACTCCATTTATAGAAAATGCCCCGAATAGGCAGATGGACAGAAAGTAGATTATAGGCACACATCACATAATGTTTCAGTCAATGACAAACCACATATACGATGGTGGTCCTATAAGATGATTATACCAAAGTTTTATTGTACATTTTGTATGTTTAGGTAAGTCTAGATACACAAATACTGTTGTGTTACAATTGCCTACAGTAGTTAGTACAGTAACATGCTGCGGCCTAAGAGCAACAGGCTATGCCAATTAGCCTAGGTGTGTGGCAGGCTATACCATCTCAGTTTGTTTAAATATACTCCATCATGTTCCCATAATGATGGAATCACATAACAATGTATTTCTCGGCACATATCCCTGTTGTTAAGCAATTAGGATTCCAGAAGCTGGTGTTGGCGGCATTGGGAAGAAATGGGGAATGACTGTTAATGGGTACAGAGTTTCTTTTTGGGTTAATGAAAATGTTTTAACAATTATTGTGATGGTTGCACCACTCTCTTTACATACTACACATCACTGAATTTTAAGCTTTAAGTGGGTAAGTTGTACGTCATATGAATTATATCTCTATAAAGATGTTATAAAAATAAGGATTATTATAAATATATGAGGTTGATTAAATTGTGTGGCTTCTATCACTGATAACCAACAACATTCTGTATTTACTATCATACTGTATCAAGTGATTTACGTATCTTAGCTCCCTTAATTCTTACAACATCCCTATTTGGTGAGCACAGCAAAATGCGTTAGGTACAGGATTTAAAATTTGGGCCTGTGCCAAAATTCACCCTTTTTCTTTCTTGTTTCTTTTAAAAAACTGTATTCCTTTAAATAGTTAATATACTCATACATTTCATAAAACAAAGTGACACAAAAGGCACACACCCTCTCTCCATCCACCATCTTCCCTGTCCCACAGGTGCAGCTTGTATTTGCTTCTTGTACATCATTCAGCATTTCCTTAAAACAAAGCACATATGGATATACATTTTTATTTCCCCCTCTTTGGCAAATGTAGTATACTATACGCATTGTTCAAATATAGTACACATTGTTCTGCACCTTGTTTTCACATCTCATAGTATCCCAGAGATCCTGCCATATTAGTATTCTTCATTCTCGTATTTATAGCTAAGAGTACACCAGTGCCTGGATGTACCACAATTTAATTTCCTATTTCCCTAAAGATGGACAGTTAAGTTGTTTCCAAGAAACTATATTTTGAAATTGCCTCCAAAGGCAAGAAGAAAACTCCTAAGAAATGCAATCATTTTAAAATAATCTCCTTTCCTCAAAAATGGACTACTTTGAAAGTGATAACTCTTCTTAAAATGTGCTGGTTAGTAAATATTTGTTAAATATCAATGCAATGGTCTAAATGTTATGTCTCCTCAAAATTTATGTATTGAAATCCTAACCCCCAAGGTGATGGTATTGGATGGCGGGCCCTTGTGTGGTGATCAGGTCATGGGGGTGCAGCCCTCATGTATGGGATTGGTGTTCTTGTAAAAGCGGCCCCACAGAGATCCCACCCCACATGACGTTACAATGATTAGAAGGCCAACTGTGAGGAAGTGGGCCCTCATCACACTGAATCTGCTGATGCCCTGATCTTGGACTTCTCAGCCTTCAGAATTGTGAGAGAGAAATTTTTGTTGTTTATAAGCTACCTAGGTTATGGTATTTTGTTACCGCAGCCTGAACAGGTTAGATAATCATCAGCAACAAAAAATGAAATGCATTACACCAGAGTGACAGCCCCACGTGAGCCATGGAAGGATACTCCATCTCTATGGACAAGAACTGTGATTCACCCTCTTGAAGAGGGAAGCCCAAGGATTTCCAGAAACATTCCAAAGACTTTGTTTGTACTTATTCAGCATATTGTTTCTGCTGAATAATATTTACAGAGATGAAGAATCAAATATTCATTACTGAATTATCTATTACCTCTATGGTGAATTTCTATATGATATATATTTTAAACTTATCAGTTCACCTGAGTGGAATGAAATTCTAATATTTTTATTATAGCAAACCTAGACCCAAAATATTTTACACTTATCCGACTGTCTTTAGAACTTCTATTATCAGTCCTAAGACATAAAAACAACTTGTCAATTTTGTTTCCTGTTTTTTTTTTTTTTCTTAAAGAAACTAATGCTTCAATAAGGCTATGTATTTTCTGAAGGATGCCTGACATAACATGAGTTTGAATATTAACATGTGAAGAACTGGCTCATGCCTGAAATCCCAGCACTTTGGGAGGCCGAGGTGGGTGGGTCACTTGAGTCCAGGAGTTTGAGACCAACTCGGCCAACATGGCAAAACCTCATCTCTACTGAAAATACGAAAAATTAGCCTGGTGTGGTGGTGCATGCCTGTAATCCCAGCTACTTGGGAGGCTGAGTCATGAGAATCACTTCAACCTGGGAGGCGGAGGTTAAAGTGAGTCAAGATTGTGCCACTGCACTCCAGCCTGGGCAACAGAGTGAGACTCTGTCTCGAAAAAACCAAAACCAAAAAGAAAACATGTGAAGAACAAGCAATAAAAAAGGTAATGTCAGCACAGACAAAATATCCAAGAGGTAGAGAACAATGCGGTCTTCCAAAGGGAACTGAATGAAAGAATTTAAAATGTACAGCTTTTCAAAGCTAAAGAAAGTGACAACTAAATTGAAAGGGCTGAAATGGGCATTAACTTCCCAGAACACATATGTATATTTAGTTTAATAAACCTGAGTACTATCTTAGGAAAAATCTTATATATTATGCATCTAGGGCAATGAGAGCTGTAGAAAATGATTCTCCAATGCAAACACACTACAAGCTGACACTAGAAGAGGAAAAGAGTCAAAGGCACACACAAAACATCACACGTAAGTTTAGGTTTCATTCTATAGATCATCACCACAGGGAAAAAAAAAAATGAGCTGTGAAAACCATAGACACTAAACAGAAGCTGGGCAGCTATGCTTGTGGTTGACGCTTAAAAAAATGCATGTTTGTATTTTCTGATTGTAATTGTAATATGAATTTGCAGAAGATTTGGAAAATATAGAAAAAATAAGAATTTAAATCACCCACTTATCCCACAATCCAGAGAGATCCCTTACTAAAATGGTTGGCATATTTACTTCCAGTCCTTTTTTTCTGTAGATATAAGAATATATGGTTTTTACCAAATTGGGCTTATATTATGCATTCGATTTTACACATGACCTTTCCCCCACCTTGTATGACTTCAGTAATTTCCCATGTTGTCGTGTATTCTTTAAAGACGTAATTTTCATAACTGGGCATTATACTGAATCTTATGAATTTAAGCAGAATTACATGATTCTTTTCATATTGCTGGACCTCTACGTCTCTTGTAAATTTTCCGTTTTCCAAATAGCACTGTGATAAACTTTCTTATCATAATCTTCATATTTCTATCTACTTCTTAAAAGAAACTTAAAAGCATATCAGTACTTCACATTCAAATTTAAATCACTTAGTATACCAGTAAATTCACCATTGGAAGTCTCTGGGGACAAAATGCAAATAATGCATATGAAACAAACAATACTATTTTATGCTCACTTGAAGTCTATACTTATCCTTCTAGAATAGCCATCTTTCAGGGAGCACATTATTTCCTCTAGGCAAATGGACTATTACTAGGTTAATCTAAATGCAATAACGTGAAACTTGGCTGACCCAGATTTCTCCAATATCAGTACGCATGCAATTACAATATTCTGCAGAAAGACAAATACTCAAGGCTCTCAAAAATACATATTTTATCATCCTTTCATTTAAAATGATGTACAATGGACACTAAAATAAAACAAATAAAGTTTATAGCCAATGAAGGTTGATAGTATCCAAATCTTATGTAGACATATAAGTTACATATAGTGTAACTTACAGCTTTCTTAGAATTCTAGTTTTATTTTGTCACTTCAACAGTTATTGAGATCTTAAATGCTCTCATCATATTGAAGTTATTTATAATTCCTGTTAAGAATTATATACGCTTAACAGTCTGGTCCTAGATTCACTATAGTCTATTTTAAAAATTATTCTTTCAAGAAGCTAAATGGGGTTCTTACAATCTCTAAAGTGTGTGTGTATAATATATTCACATATAGTTATACATATCTAAAATGTTTTTCTCCCAGTAACCAGTGAAAAGCAAAATAAAAATACAACAAAAACTCCACTTATATCACTGGTCATCATAACTACAATCACTCGAATTCTAAAGCACCCTCACAACTGGCGCAGGTGAAGATAGCTAGAGCTGGACTGTACAGTTGTGCAGGCTGCATACTATACAACTCTAGTGAGTGCAATCGTACCCCAATTGATGTGACTGGTATTCTTTGGGGTTGTGCAGTATACAATCCATACAACTGTATGTGATGAACTTGAAGTTAGCTCAGGTAATTCTGTTTGCTCATCCATTACTTATCTCTGCATCCTTCTCTCTAGTGAGCTATGAAAAATGTTTTCAAAGGGAAGTAATCTTTAAATCTGTGTACTATTTTCTAGGAAGGAAATTCTGCAAAGAAATAGTAAAAATTCTCCCTGGCTTCCATCTGTCCTAATAGTAAGGTTTTCTTTCTTCCCATCTCCCCTTCCATCAACCCATCAGGAAGCAACAGGGTACCTTGTGTGAGTAACTGTAGATTTCTGACTTCTTCTCGCACCTTCAGCTGGAGCACCTGTTGTAAGATGTGCTGCCGGAGGTTCTCCTGGGCAATCCCCATTCGCTCAAGCTTTTTGTCAGTAAGTCTCAGCAGGGCTCGCCCTGCAGGGTTTTAAGAAATAAAAGGAAAAGCAAATGAACTACTTGCTGAAGAAAGATGTCCATTTTGGTCTTGACTAACCCTGCCATCACAGAAGTTTCTACCTAAACACAGACATTTTAGAATAAAAGTCCTCCATTATTATTGCTGACACAAATGGATTATCTGGGTGAAAAAATACATACATATTTAAGAGAGAACCCTAACTTTTAATTGAACATTGGGAAACCCCACTGACTCACACATTCAGTTAGAATGTGTGACTCATACACTCAGTTAGATAAAATAGGAAAACCTTAACCTGGATATTTGGGTCACAAATTGCAGGTTTCCATAGAAACAATGCTCTTCATCGGGGGATGGATTCTCAGGCTGGCCCACAGGAGCCCAAGTCACTGACAACTTACTTACAACCCAGCTGAAGAACTGGATGCTCTAACAGTGGTACATATATTAACTCTAGCAATGTGTAACACAGGGTATAATAACATTTCTGTGAAACATGCATTTAGAGTCCAGTTTTCATCTGCAGGCAATTGACACTCCTGCTGTACCCCTGATGGGCTGGAGGTTCCATCTCTAGCTGGTGGGAGCTATGCCTTAATCCCAATTACTGGCCTAATGCAAGGGTTCTAGAAGGGCTGAGAGGGAGAAGAGCAGGGTAAAACAGTATCCAAAGAGTTGAAAAACAAGGCACCTCAAGGTGTGAATGCCTACAATGTGCAGACACCCTGGGCTACGGTCAGCTGGCATGGCCTCTCTTCAATCTTTCTTTCCCTGTATACTTCTCTTCCTACTGTGATTTCCATCAAATTCTCCTCCACTCTGTGCTTGCCCTAAAATAAGTATATTTCCATTTTGAGGGTTTACTGCAAGAAATAAAGAGTGATCATTGCTAAATGCCCATAGCACCACCTCTACTCTTCTCCAACATTCCTACTCATCACATCTGCAGATCTTTTCTCATTTCTACAGATGAAGAAGAGATAGAGTCAACTACATGTGATGAATGATGTCTTCAGGTATATTACAATATACATTTCACGAGGAGACAGGTGAATGGAGAAAACCAGTTAGCAGCAGTTTGTGTTGTTTACGCTTCTAGTTTCCTTCCTTTTAGCGTTTGCTAAGTGCATCAGTCAGGATAAGTTAGTTTATATGCTGTTGTAAAAAACAATTCCAACATATCAGTGGCTACAACAAACTTTACTTCTGGTTTATTCTGCATGCCAAACTACAAGTCTACCCATCTTGAACACTGCTGATCAATGTAACAAGAGGGATGAGAGAAGGTGCTAGAAGATCTTCATGCTATCAATGAAATGCTCAGCTTAGAGTCATTTATATATCATTGGCCAGAACTAGTTGCATGAACATTTCCACCCACAAAAGGGCCACTAATTGTACTCCCAACATGTGCCCAGAAGTGAGATGCTTAATAAGCAGCACTAGTGAGAATTATGCTAATATAGATGTGGCCCTGGAAAAATGCGTAGAGAGAAAGTGAGTTCTTGGATGTATGCATGTTTGCAGTGGTTAGGGGTGGAGGTCTGAAGCTTCAGTGGAACCTGCATTTGTGAGAGGAATCCTACATAACTACAGCTCAGGCTTGGCAACACCAGGCAGATGGTGGTGGTCATGAGAAAAGGAAGGAAAGGACAAAATTGGACTCCAGTAATTTCCATTGCATTCTGTGGCTGGTGGATTAATGGGCTCCTAAAGATGTCCTTGTTCTTATCTCTGGAACCTGTTAATTTCTTACCTTACATGACAAAAGGGACTTTGCAAATGTGATTAAGGTAAGGAGGATCTTGAGATGGGAGAGTACCTTCATTATTCAGGTGAGTCCAATCTAATCACAAGGGTCCTTAGAAGTGAAAGAGGGAGATGGGAGAGCCAGAGAAAGATGTGACAATGGAAGCAGAGGTCAAAGTGAAGTGGCCAAGAGCCAAGGAATTCAGGCAACCTCTAAAAGCTGGAAAAGGCAAGGAAATGAGTTATCTCCCACACCCTCTAGGAAATAGCTCCACTAACATGCTGAGTTTAGCCTTATGAGACCCATTTTTGGACTTCTGATCCCCATAAGTGTAAGACAATAAATTTGTGTTGTTTAAAGCCATGGGAGTTTGTGATAATCTGTTATAGCAGCAGTTGGCCTTGTGACTGGAATTTACATGTTTTTAAGAAGTCAAACAGATGGCTTTAGATTTCCTTTCCTTTCCCCATTTCTGGTTGCTGGCACACACAAAGGTAAAAAGCAGAAGAGTGCTAAGGAGAGGCGAGCCTGAGTGCCGGGCTTCCAGGACAGCCCTGCAATCCAATGCTTTGCTCACTGTCAGACCTTAGTCCAGAAGTTTCACTCAGAAAACAAAGAATAGGGCTTAAATATCATTTATATGGATAATTGGCCTCCAAATAACAGACATCTACATCTTTATACATGTCATAAACTTACAAATACTGCATAAAACACTCCCTGAAGCTCTGATGATCTTAATCCTTCCCAACATAAAAATGTAGATCACCCTCCCTCCTTTCTGTTCCCAATTATTTGGGCTGTGGTTTCGCAAGCTGTGGCATTTCCTAGCAAGAGCTGCTGAGGCGCTGATAAGACACGCGGCTGCTTTTGTCTTAAGCTGGCTGGGCCATCGTTAGAACACAGTGTTAAGGCATCAGAGGCAGGGTTTTATTCCAGCGCATACAGTTCACCTTTCCTTTGTTTGATTCCTTCCTGTAAACCTGTAGTCCCAGCCTTTTCATAAATGCATCTGACTGGTCAAAGTAAAGATACATAGCCCTACTAGAATGTTATTTCTACTTTGGTGGGTTAATTGCATTGGGTTTAAATATACGAGTCAGAAAATTCTGTCAGTTATAAAAGTCTGTTCATTTTCTGACTGTGTGATAGAAACAATCATGCTTATGAACATTTCACATATTAAATGTCCAACTGTTCAAATTATTTAATCTAAATCCTGAGAATTATTTCTACTCTGTTGGAAGAGAAATTGAGAAGTTAAAGAATATCTAAAACATGAGCGCTCGTCCTAATTTTTCCCACTCTACATTCAGTCGTGTTTTATCTTCCTTGGTAGGAAAATGAAAGGGTTAGTTTTCAAGAAAGATTAAGGATAAAATTTCTTTTAAAATTTCCTGATAGAATCACTTCTAGAGAAGAGCATGATCTGTACACCAAAAATCTTATTAACAAAATCTGATTCATGGTCTTCTTTGGATGGTTTCTATGGATTGATGGTTCTGGAAAATTTCTGTATTAATTAAATTATTTCTAGGAGTAAATATCCCATCAATCTCCTAGTCCACCACCTCCTGATGAATACAAAATAAACAAATGTCCAAATAAGTGAGGTACTATTTTGATGAGGTATCAAGAAAGTGGTAAGTAAGCAATCATCAAATTATTTTATCATTTATGTTAATTTTTGTTGTTTATCATAAAATTCAATTGTTAGTTCAACAAACACTTATTGAGCACTCACTATGCCTCTGTTACTTTGTGACTCCCCCTGGATACAGTGATGAACACAGCAGACAGAGTCACTTTTGAAGCCTTCAGTCTGACAAGGAAGGTAACTCATGGCAAATGTCTATGAGTATGTGATGAATGCTAAGAAATGCTAGGACTGAAGGAGGAAGCAAGAGTTAGACAAAACCTACTGATAGAGCAAATATTTTTTTTAAAGTTGCCACATGAATGAAGAGGGGGGCTGCCATTGTAGACAGACAACACAGGAGCACCGTCCCAACTTGAACATTCCCTGCCTCTGCTCACAGGGGTCTCCTGGTCACCTTGCTCTGCAGTCCTCTGACAATACAGAGAAGGGCCAAGGAGTGAAAAATCAACTCAATCTCAAACAAGAAGCACCAACTGAATTGCCTGATACAATCAAAATTGTTATAACAGTAATTAGGTGACCTGGGCTGCTGGGACCTTCACCAACTCACAGACCCTTGGGGTTAGAAGAAGCTTAAAGTTTTTCACTTGCTCTTACTCCCTGCTTTTTACTCTTTTCCTTTAACAAGTATTTATTGATCACCATTACGTGCCTGCCACTATTCGGGGTGCTGTGGATATGGAGATGAGTAGTGTCTTCTGCCTGCATGGAGCTCACCATTTAGCGTAGGAGGAAGGTGACATACAAATAAACCGACAACTAGATTTAGATCTAGAGACAGATGTATGATCCCAGATAGTCATAAGTGCTCTGAAGAGAAAGAAGAATGAAGGGGCAGACAGGGACCCCTATTAAAAAGATGGGGCTATTGTAGTTGGGGTGGTTAGGATAGGAAAGGCCTCTCTGAAGGGGTGAGGCTGGAACCACAAAGGAGAATGAGGGAATAGAAGTGTCAACGCAAGTAGAGGAATGACAGGGAGACTAGTGTCACTAGGGCAGAGCAGGTGAGATAAGAGAATGGTCAGAAATGAGGTGTCAGAGAAGACAGGGTCAGATCAAACAGGGCCTCGGAAGCCCTGGAGAGGACTCTGGATTTTATTCTTCTGAATATGAAAAGTTTTGAGCAAGGACAACTTGGGCATGATATCAGGTATTAAAAAGAATCTCTCTGGTCACTACGTGGAGAATGGATTCGGGGCAGAGGCATGTGTAGGAGCAAGGAGGAGTCTGTGGACTACCAAAGTGATCTAAACAGGAGGTAACAATGTCTTTGTACTGGGGTGGTGGGGAATAAGTAATAAGAAATAGCAAAATTCTGGATATATTTTTAATAGTTTTACAATGCCCAGAAGTGGGGTCTGAGGGAAAGACGGACATCAGAGATGACTCACATTTTCAACCTGAGCCACCAACGTCTGGGGGCACCATTTCCGAGCAAGAAATTGAGTCACTGCTCAAGAGAGGATGCATTGGAAGGAGGAAATCCTGGCAGTATTACTGCTATTTTTTTCTTTAGAGAGCACTTGGGATATGGAGAAGACTAAACACGACAGTATTAAACAAAGAAAAACAATTAAAATATTCCT